GACTCGGCTAGGTGACAGAGGCCAGATATTTGCCGAAATTTTATGCTGGACATCTGTGTGGGGGTGGTTTTGAATATGTCTTAAATTGATAGAACTTGACTAAAGCAGGTTGCCTTCCATAACATGTTGAGCCTCATCCAGTTGGTCCAAGGCCTGGGCAGACTCAAAAGCTGATGTTGGGAGACTCAAGCACAGGAAGCCCCTGGGCCCTGCTGCCACCTCCGCCCATCCTGCCAGCCCACCCACAGAGAGCACATTTCCCAGTCTCCAGAGGCTCATGGAGCCGATTCTTTAGAAGATTCTTCTACTGGGCACGGTGGCTCATTCTTAGAATCCCAGCACCAAGGAAGCAAAGGCAGGAAGGTGGCCATCCTCATCTACAAGTTGCAGGCCAGTCAGGGCTACATAATGAGGTCTTGTCTCAGAACAACTAAGATATGAACGTGGGAGAGGGATGAGCTGGAAAGAAGAGGGGACTGGGCAGGAGAGGGAGGGGAACCAGAGCAATGGGGACGAGTCTGATAAAACATGTACATGCATGAAACTGTATAAAAAAAAACAAACCTCCCATTGTGGGGTTGGGGAGCTGGTTTGACAGGAAAGAGGGCTTGCTACCTAAAAATGAGGACCTGAGTTCAAATCCCCAGCACCCAGGTAAAAATTAGGCTTGGCCATGCACGACTGTAACCCAGCAGTGGGACAGGGAAACAGGAGGCTCGCTGGACTGGCTGGTTGCCAGCCTAGCTCCAGGGTCGGTGAGAGACCGTGTCTCAAGACAGTAAGGCAGAGAGTGGGAGAACAGGACACTTGACGTCCTCCTCTGACCTCTGTGTGCGCTGAGGGGTTCACCCCCACGTTCAGAGGCTCAGGGGCTCAACCCCTATGTTACCTCCCATGTGCACACACCTCTCCACACTTATATGTACACACACACACACACACACACACAAAGTGGAAAAAAATCCACATTGTATACACGTATGAAACGGTAAACATGTGCTTGTGCATACAGTTACGGGTCACTTTAGGCCAGGGATCTGTTCTGAGAAAGGAGCCAAGACATGATTTTCTGTTTGCCATTTCATAATGTGCACTTACACACCTAAGACAGGAACAGTGCTCCCAGGTGATGTAATGGCATGAACATACCCAGTAATACAGAATGAGGTATGTGCAGTCATCATCGGCCAAAACGCTATGTAAGATGTGGCTGCACGCCCGCACTCTGGTTGGTTCTGGTTCTCGGGGGACTGCTGGCCCCTGCAACCATCATGAGGAAGCTTCCAGTGCTCCAAGGTTCCTGTCTCACTGGCCGCCCTCCCTCTGTACATCAGGAGCATAGGACTGCAGATGCCCTGGGAGCCTTGTGAAGTGCCCAGGTTTCAGTTTGTTTGTTTTGATCCTGCAGAGGTCAGCAGGATGCCTTGTCTTGGGGAAAAATTACTTTTGAGTTTGTACAAAGTAGCATTTGAGGAGCGCAGCAGCTGTGAAGTTGGGAAATCTGTACAACAGCTAAGAACAGCACAGGCTGGAGAGCCCCGAGGCAGATGTTTGGAAAAGAGTTAATAAATCACAAACCTGCTGGATCTGCCAGCACCTGCCTCCACCTAGCTCTGGGGTATCTCAGCTCTGGGCTCCTCTGGGCCAGGCTGCACCCTTGGCTGATGGTCATTTCACCGTCTCCGTGGCCAGAGCTGACAAGAGCTGTGGTGTGTCTTACCCTGTCTTTGCTTCTGAGAGCACACGCTATGGGCTCACCTGGTGCCCACACTTGGGCATACTGAAGAGAAGTGGGTGGTAGGTGGTGTTGTATAGTTGTTTGTACCATCCGGGTGGCACCTGAGCTCATGTGCCTGTGATCATCTCAGGAACTGTTTCCCCTTCACATCCTCAGTCTCCCTGTGCCATTTGATAATTGGGCAGAATCCACAGCAGCTCTGACCCTGTTTCATAAATTTACAGGAATGATGCTAAATCAGCATCAACAGAACTTGATGCCTTGACATGTGAAAGGGTCATCTGTGAAGTTCTAGAAAGCTCCCAACAGTTCCCTATGTGTTGATGATAAAACAGGAAAGCAAGTTGCCCAGGGTCTTGCAGGAAAAGGAAGGGCATGAAGCTGAGGCCCACCTGACTTCCACTGCCCCAGAACTAGGAGCTAAGGAGGTCTACGGAATGGGTGGGTGTTGATCTAACTGGTTTAAATCTGGCATCTGTCCTCCTCCTTGCAGGCTGTCCTGTGCTCCAGGCTCCCCAGGGTGGTGGTGCCTACTTTAGCTCCCTGATCCTGTTCGGTTTATGTTCCAACTGCCAAATTTCTCTGGATTCACGACCTTGTGCACCCTGGCATGCTTCACCAATGCTGCCTCACTGGCACCTCCATGCTCACCTCTCGTGTTCCCTGCCCAAAGCTCTCCCTCACCAAACCTGAGCTTTCATTAGCACCTCCATGCCAACGGACCATAGGCTGCACCTGCCCCAGCACACACTTCACCTACCTATACGGTCCGGGGTTTTATTCACAGATGTGCAAACAATCCCCATGGCCAAGTTTAGAGTATTTTCTTACCTTGCAAAGAAACACTATGCTTGCTTTGTTTTTACAAAGATTTGTTTCCTTTTTATTTATGTGTGTACACCTGTGTGCAGGTGCCCACAGAGGCCAGAAGAGGGCACTGGATCCCCTGGAGCTGGAGTTAGAGGCATTTGTGAGCTGCTTGACACGGGTGCTCTGCAAGAGCAAGAGAACACTCTTAACTGTTGAGCCTCTCTCCAGACCTTGGCTGTCACTTTGGTATTCCTGCCCACACCAAGCAGCTCCGCTCTAGACTCCCCTGTTCTGGATACTTCACACAAATGACATCATGTGTGCTCTTTTGTGCCTGGCTTCTTTCACCCACCATGATGGTTTTGAGGTTCATCACTGTTGTAGTATTACTCACGGTTCCTTTTAATTGCTCAATTATATTCTATTTATTCACATACCATATTTTCTTTATTCATTATACATCGGAATTATTTTTGGCTATTATGGATAATGCTGCTATAAACACGTAGCCATGCTCTAATTTCCTTTGACGTATGCCTGGGAGTGAACAGCTGGTAATTTGTTCAAGGAACCATCAGATCATTTCTGCAAGCAGCTGCAGCCATTGACATTCCCAACAGTACTGTATGAGCACTCTGCTTTCTATACGTTCTTGTCAACTCTTGTTACTGTCTGGCCTTGATTTTAACCATCTTTTAAAAAAATTTATTTTTATGTGCATGCATTCAAGTGCACACATGTCTTATCATGCAGTGTCCACAAAGGTCAGAAGAGGGTGCTGGATCCCATGCAAATGGAGTTATGGATGGTTGTTAGCCACCATGTGGATGCTAGGAACCAAACCTGGGTCCTCTGCAAAAGCAACCAGTGCTCTTAACCACAGAGCCATCTCTCCAGTCAGTCCCTTAACCATCTTTCTGAAGCAGTATTTCACTGTGGTTCTAAATTCAGTTTATCTGATTACTAAAGACCTGAGGATATTTTTTATTCTTTAAAACAAGTTCTCCCTATGCATCACAAACTGTCCTCATGACTCTCCTGCCTCAGCCTCTGAGGTGCTGGGATTAGAGGTGTATCACCATACCCAGCTAGGACATGAACATCTTTTAAAGTGCTTATTGGTCATTTGTGTATCTTATTTGGAGAAATATTTGCTAACAGTTACTTTTAACATTGGTCATTGAGCTGTAGTCATCACATCCTTTTAAAAATAATATTTTTATTTTATAAGCGTATTGCCTGCATGTATGTAAGTGCACCCACACCGTGCAATGCCTGCAGAGGTCAGAAGAGGGCGTTGGATTCCCTTGGAACTGGAGTTTGATGATTGTTAGCCTCCATGCGGGTGCTGGGAATTGAACCTGGGTCCTCTGCAAGAGCAGCCAGTGCTCTTAACTGCTGATCTCTCCAGTCCCCAGTCTTCATATCATTATATTGAGACATAGTCACTGAAGGCTCAGTCTCAGGCAGGAAGAAATTGAGCCTGGAAACACTGTGACCCCCCGAAAGACTCATGTGTATCTGTGAACCATGAGTCTTACAAGCCACTGGGAGGGGGAATGTTCCTCTGCAGTCTGGGGGCCCCAGCTCTTGACTCCTTTCAGTCTTTTCTCCCTGCCCCGTGAGTGCCAGGGCTGGTTACGAAACTGCAGCAGGTGAAGCATTCTCTTGGTGCGGTTCTGGAAAGCAATTTACTAACAGTTTCATTAACTATTGACTGAAGCTGGTGAGAGGGGCACTGTTATGTTTTAATGTGAGACATTCCCCACGGGCTCACGTCCGCAGCTGGTGGCACTGTTTTGGGAGGTTGCAGTATGTCTATTCACTGAGAATGGCTCTCTGCCCCTGGACACAAAATGAAGACCCTCATTGCTGTCCTTAGTGAGTTAGGACACATGAATACCAACAGCAGGCTTCATAGGTGACCAGACTAGCCAAGGAAAGGACAGGGCCACTGGGAGGGGCAGAACTAGCACCTCACCATGCTGCAGTCCTCCCTGACCTGTGTGCAGATGTGGGTAAAAAGGCTTCTAGGTCCTCTCCACGCAATCCGGCATCTGTTGCTGGCGTGCTGGCCCAAGCAGTTTGGATGATATTCTTGCCTTGCTCTTAAGGGTTCTGGAAGGTCTGACACAGTCAGAAGCTGTTCAGCACCACCCCTGGGCCTAACTACTGATACTTCTCCTTTAATTCTACTCCCAAAGGGTGTAGTAGTACAGGGCCAGCTACTGGCCAACCTGTCCATTTCAGTCACCTGGACTGAGCTTTCCGTTGTCTGACAGCCTCAGGAGGTGATTATACTTGAGTTGCCAGGTGCCACAGCTCAACTTTGTGTCTGGAAAATGACTATTGAAAATATCCATAATGCATGCCTGTTTGTATTTCCACTGAAACCATCTGGCAGTCCTAGGAAGACGAAAAGGGAAGTTCTGAAATACAAGAAAAACGAACCCAGGGCAGAAATGCAGGAGCTTTATTATAACCACTATTATCCTCAAAGACAACAATTTAGAAACCATTCGGAGCATCAGTTTGCCTTCAGTGACCCAGAGCCCACAGACCCACACCTAAGCTACCTCAAAGTTGAGAGAACAGAGCCTTTCCCTTGGGCTGCTGATCTCAAAGGCAGATGTGTCACAATTTCTGCAGCGGAATTGGGATGGTTAGCATAGGGGGACCTGGAGTAGCCCGCTCTAAACTTTTCCTTTACTTGGTTTCGTAAGACAGTGAGGCTGCATGTTCCAGACTGCTGTGGCCAATGGGTCTCCAAAGTCACCCTTGATTCATACCAACATTTAGACAACATGGGGCCTAGAGGTTTATGCACCTGCTCCCTGTAAGTCTGCCTGCTAGGACACCAAACTACCTAGAAAATATGCAGGGCTACCCCCTTTAAGCTGGAACACAGGCCTGGAGAGGGGCACCAGGATGGCTGGAGGTGTGATGCTGTTCCCAGCACCACCGTGCCCTGCCGCAGACCCCACTACAGACCACGGTGAGTCAGGAACACCCTCCACAAGCAGTTCTCCAGGAGGTTCAACGTTTGCCTAATGAGCCCTTTGACGGTGCAGAAAAGCAGCAAGGCTACAGTCATGAACTGGAGGGGGCAGCCTAGGGCATGTGGGGCAGGAGGAGGACCCGATTAATAAAGTGCACGACATGATACTGTTTCCCCTAACCTTATCAAATCTCTCTGAATTTGTGGCCTCTTATGTTAGGATTACAGGTAAGGACTTGAAGAGACTGATCGCTACAGTGTGGACTCCCTTTTACTCAGGATTTGTCAAGTTCTGCTAATGGCACTTCTAGGACCTTAGTGACATCCAACTAGAACTCTTCGAAACAAAGTTTGGGGATTGAGCCTTTTCTAGTTTTAAATATGGGGATTTGAGACATGGAAGACACACTTTGCCTTTGTCATTAGGGATATGAACTTTGCAGAATTTTGCAGAACATGCTGGTTCTTTGGGTCAGGAATGTGTCCCAGGAGGCGAGCTGGGGTGCTGCTGAGGGTGCTGGGATCTGGGCACCTGTCACTTGCGAGGCTGTTGGATGTGCTGTGTTCTTGGTGAGGCATGCTTGTCCATGGAGGCATGTGGCTTCTGGTGAGCCACCTGAGCGGCGGCTGGTGGGAAGTCCTTGTCACCCTGTGAAGAGATGGGAACACACAAGCTGCTTGAAGTCAACACATGGAGTGATGTGAAAGTCCCTCAAACCCAGCCTGCCAGCTTCCTGTGCTGTGAGCTGGCTGTGGAGTGGTGGGCTGGTAGGCAGGGAGAAGCCCATCTCCATGGCTGGTCAGGCCCCACAAGCCACCAGAGCCAGGGAGCAGAAGATAGCTGGAGCCCACATACCTCAGAGATGGCATCTTCAGGCTTGGCCCTATGCCTAGACCCAGCGGCCACATGGCTCCCCCCAGTGTGGAGTAGCGCATTGGGCAGCTTTCCCCTGCTACATCTGCTCTTGTTTCATCTGAGCTGGGGGCAGGAAAGGGCCAAATCCAGAATCTCAAACTGGGATTTGTCGCCACAGCTGTGAGCAGGACTGGGCACTGGTGGGGAGGAAAAGCACAGACCAGGATGGGTCAATGCAGCCAGATGCAACCTGCTGGGTCCTGGAGAAGGTGCCTGACTGTGTCAGAGAAAGGTCAGTTGACTTCTTGTGTCAACAGTGGGGTATGACCTGGGCAGGGCCAGGTAGAACCAGGCAGCCATGGCATGAGTGTGGGTTTATGAAGGCCTCTGACAGTCCCACGTGCAGCAGACCTACTGCTGTCTGGCCCTGGTTTTTTTAATGGCTGTGACACCTCCCTTAGCAGAGCTGTTCCCAACAACGTGTCTTCCTTGGCAGTGGAACTTGGATGGCATCCATGTGGTGCTTGCGTCTCTTCTGTAAAGACAGAAGTTGGGTCTCAACAGAAGAGAGGCTCCTCTAAGACACGGTGAGGCCAAAAACCTGAGTGAGGTCCCAGGGCCCACAAACAAAAACGGCCAGTCACAGACAAGATGTGAATGGGCGAGCCTCACTGTGCATTTACTAATGCCTCATTCACAAACATGTAACTTCTGTGGGGGAAAAGGATGCATCACACTCACTGGAGTGAGCCAGTGGAGGACCTCCCTCCACCACACACGCTCAGAAGTCACACACTTACCCGGGCAATGACTCCAGAGATGAACACAGTTGGTTTAGGTGGGCTGGAAAAGAGGAAGGGAAAAGGTGGATTTAACAAAATGGTCATAAAAGGGAAAAGGGAGCGAAGTGAATGTGGAGAAGTAAGGAGGGAAAGGAGGCACCAGGAAGCTAACCTCTGCCGGTTGCTTTGTCAGTGCTGGGCTGTGGGGCTGAGGAGCAGCCTCTGGGGTTAGTCCAGAAAAAGAGAGGAAATGGCTGGTAGAAAACAGCAGGAGATTGCTTAAAAGCACCAATTTGTTTCGTTGTTGGGATGGTACGATTATGGGATTTTGGAAACAGGGTCTTCCCTGAAGCAGGGGCAGAAACAGCTTCACACTGGGATGAACCTCCTTCCAGATCCACAGGGTCTGCTTTCAGACTCAAGCCTTCTGGTACTTCCTAACTGGTGAGACTCAGAGCCAATGCAAACTGGACTCCAGCATGTGCCTATGGAGGTCAGAGGTCAGAGGTCAGCTCAGGTGTCATTCTCCGGGTGCCACCACTTTGTTTTTTTGAGACAGGGTTTCTCAGGAGCCTGGACTTGCCCGTGACCCTCAGTGATCACTTAGCTCCGCCCCCCGTGACCCTCAGTGATCACTTAGCTCCGCCCCCCGTGACCCTCAGTGATCACTTAGCTCCGCCCCCCGTGACCCTCAGTGATCACTTAGCTCCGCCCCCCGTGACCCTCAGTGATCACTTAGCTCCCCCCCCACTAGTGTTACTTGTATTTAAACCTTTTTTATTAGTATGCATTAAATGTATAAAATATTGGCTTTCTTTATACAGTCATTAATTCTTAGCATCTGAAGTCATATTGAACTTCCTGAAGCTGTCAACAGCACTGAGGGGCAGGATAGGGCACTAAAGTAACGCACATTCACTAAGGGAACGCAGACAAGCCGTAGCTTGCTAAGCTGACAGATTCTCATCATCACTGCTCGGGAGTTCCTGCCTGGCTTCCTATGGATCTGCTTTTCTTACTAATTTTTTTCCTAAAAAAGTAGTCACACTGTTTTGGAATCTGCTTTCTAAACTGAGAATACAGCCAGCATACTTCCATGCTATAAAATCCTGTTCTGTGCAATGTATTTTTTTTTTTTTTGATGGTATATGGTGCACAGCTTTAAAACACCAGGGTACAGTTAGAGGTGGAACACAAGGCACTGTGAACTAAGTTCCCTCAAAGAGCCTTGTCTGTGTTGGAGATTCTGAGCCACCTACATCTGAATCACCTGGCCTAATGTCCTTTGACTATGAACATCCTTTTGACTATTAAGTAAAACCAATGGAACATATTAACGACGAAAGACCACCGGCTTCCACTAACCCCAAGACAAGAACGTAAACAGTATCTAGGATCCACAACATGGATTTCCCTACCTGAAGTCCCTGCCAATGTATCTGGTAGATTTGATAGAGTATCAATAAGCCCCATAAATTAACTGGTCCAGATTATAAAAATGTCTAGTCTATCTGTTGGAGGGCCCATTTTTCCAGTCTCACTGGTCAATCACCTGGTGATAGAACCACTTCCAGGAAGGCAGGTTATGCTAAATAGATGGGCAGAATACCTGGTGTGTTAATTAAGTAATGAATATTTCTGCCTGGAACTAGCTCAGGTCCCAGCAGAACTTCCAGACCAGCTACAGTCATGTAGGTCTCTGTAAGTCTGTCCGCTTTCCTTAACTCTTCAAGAACGTGTAATTTCTCCTTTTCTTCTTCATGCCTTTCTTACTAAACGTGCTTTCCTTAAGGCTTTGGGCTGCCCCTAGCATCTTGGAGTTCTTCGCTTTTTCTCTAAAGCTTCCTCCTCCCAGCCATGTGGCTGCAAGTCAGCCCCGTGTCTGACCTCTATGCAGGCTCTAAGCCTGCCTGGCTTCCATGGCTTTCTGTCCTTCTTCCCACCATTCACCTCCTCAGGGCAGCTGCCAAGATTACCAGCTTGCCTGCCCTGAGGATTTTTCTTTAAGATTCTAATAAAATTGTAAAAGCTTCTGTTTGGGACCATTTTTAAATTCTTTTATGAATGAAACTAAGAACCCTCTAGGGGACCCTCTTTCTCCCCGGTTCAGATGCTCTGGGGTGTGTATGTGTGCACATGTGTGCTTGTGTGGAGGCCCGAGGATGCTTGGGTGTCATCCATTCCTCAGGTGCTGCTAACCTTTTTCTCCCCTTAAGATAGGATGGCTTGGAATGTACTAAAGCTAGGCAGGTTGGCTTGTGGATCTGCCTATATTCACCTCCCAGTGCTGGGCTTACAAACTCTACCTGGACCTGGCTTTCTTAGGCAGATTCTGGGACTTAGGCCCTCTGCCGTCTAAGGCGAACACTTCACCAACTGAGCTATCTCCCCATCCAAAGGCATTGCTTGTCAACTGTCTTTGTTCTGTGGCTAATGGAAGTCCATGTACTGCTGCCATGTGGAACATCTCATCAGGAGCAATCTAAACTCATGTTTCTGGGCCACAGTCACTTATGTCTGTCTTAGAATAAACTGTCTTTTACTTGGTTTGGAAACAGAGCTGTGTTTTGTGTTGACAGCACACAGGAAGATGCAGAATGCCTCCCACAGAGGTAAACAGACTGGGACAGGAGGCAAGCCCAGCCAGACTGCGGAAGAACACAGGACAGAGAGGAGGTCCCTACCTAGGGCACAGTTCTGCATCCCAGGAGCTCCCAACCTGCCTCCCACAGCTCTGCTCGGCTCTGCTGCGGGGCCCTTTGAAGGAAGCCACTTATCTCCTCTTTGTGCTGCTACAGGGGAGAGTCTCAGTGTTTAGAAAGTGCACTGCCTGTTTACATACTACAGAGTTTGGCAAACACGCCTGAAATTTGCCCAAGTAATTTCTGTTACTTCCTGAGCTGAAGAAGAAACTTCAAGTCTTACCACGCAACTCAGAACGTCCTAGAATTGCTTGGGTTTTACAGTGTTTGTGGTGTGGCTAACGGGGTTGAAGTTTTCTATATTACATGTATGATTTGATTACAGGATTAAAAGGCAGCCAGAGATGAGTCAGTTTGCTGAGTCTATGCTTCCTTGTGAAAGAGTTGGAGATGTTCAATCTCAGAACACACCAGGCTGCCACCTTGGGGGCACCTGGGACACTTGGCAGTCTTTCCTACAAGCAGCAAGTTCTGAGGATTCTTTGGGGAGGGCTGTTGTCCTGGTACCAAGGCAAGAAAATCATTTAATCAAGCAGACTGGAGATTGGGGCTGTAGTGAGCCTGAATAAACAAACCCCTGGAGTAATCTCTACTTGCCACCAGCATTTGCCTCCTGGCCTCTAGGTCTCTAGAGGACATTCCTAGAAACTTGCCACCCTAGTCCCGAGATTTCATTTATTCTGTCACTCACAAACCTGCTATTGTTTGTTTCAAAACCACAAAAGTTGGGTCATATGGTAGGTTCATTTTTAGTTTTTTAAGAGTTTTCCACACTGTTTTCCAATGGGGTTGCACGAGTTTGCAATCCCACCAGCAGTGAATGAGTGTTCCTTTTTTTCCACATCTTGCCAGGATCTGGTATCATTTGTTCTCTTGATCCTAGCCAGGCTGACTGGGGTAAGGTGAAACCTTAAGGTGGTTTTAATTTGCATTTCCCTAATTACTAACGATGTTGAACACTTTTTAAGATGTTTCTTAGCCATCTTTATTTCTTCCTTTGAGAACTCTCTATTTAGATCTTTATCTTTAGCCCATTTTTTTAATTGGGTCACTTGCTTTCTTGCTTCTTTGTTGAGTTCTTTATATCCATTCTGGATGTTAAACTTCTATCAGAGAAAATGAATCTACTATATGACCCAGTTATACCACTCCTTGGCATATAGCCAAAGGACTCATCCTATTGCAGAGACACTTTGACAACCATGTTTGTTGCTGCTCTTTTCACAATAGCTAAGAGATGGAAGCAACCCAAGTGTCCCTCAGCTGATGAGTGGTTAATGAAAATGTGGTAACAAAAATGTGGTATATTTACACAATGGAGTTCTACTCAGCAGTAAAGAAAGATGAAATAATGAAATCTGCAGGTAAATGGATGGATCTAGAAACTGTTATACTAAGTGAAGTAACACAGACTCAGAAAAACAAACGATGTGTGTTCTCCAACATTTGTGGCTCCCAGCTCCAAATCCTTGTGAGTGCAGATCCTGATGCGACTGAAGGAGCCTGGAAGGAAAATGGAGGGAAAGGGAAAGAAGGACCCACCCGATAGAGAAGATTAGTAGGATAAGGGTGTTAGTAAGGGAGAAATATGTAAAACGGGGGTAATTATAGGGGTGGGAGGGCTATGTAAAGAACTACAGGAATAAACAGGGAAAAATTTTCCAGCTACACAGTAAAAAAAAAAAAAAAAAAAGCCTTAAGCACAGAAGGAACCCTATGGGGCTGTAAGAAAGCCCTTTCAGAAGCAATATGGCTGATAAACCCCAGTGCCAGAGGTGGGTTGCCTCCTCAGAGCTGTTGGCCTGAGGAACACTAGTGGGCCCCAAAACAATAAAGGCCATCGCCAACAATGTTGGTTGTACACTGGAAGTGGATGGAAAATCCTATTGCTGAAGACCCTGCATGATGTGAGCGCGGGAGAGGGAGAAATCAAGCTTGGACTAAGCTGGAAACTCCCTGCCACTGGATGGGTGGCTTTCATGGTGCCAGAAGGCAACATGCAGATGGCTGGGGGAGAATCATCCCTATAATTCTGCTCAACAACAGACCTCGTGTGTTGCACTACCAACGTACCAAACAAGATGTCCCTGTTGGTGCAATAGTGGCTCATCTAGTGTATGTACAACCAGCAGATTTTCAATTGGCTATAATGCCTGCTTCTAGAGGTGGAACACACATCTGGTACCGTAGACCAGGCCAACTCCCTCTGTCAGGGGAGGACACAGGCCCCAGAAGGAAGCCACTGCAATAGTTTCATTAGATGGATGTGATGCATCTGCTGAACTACTGTCCAAACATTAGTTTACACCATAGGTTATGTTACTGTAGCAGCCACTATTCAGATGTTCTTGCTTCTTGC